AGCCTCTTTCCCACCAACCGCCTCCGCATTGTCGTGGAGGACTGCCGTTACACCATCACCCGCGACGTCCTGTTGCAGATGTTTAGCATGATTGCAACGCCCACACACGTGTACTGTGGCCCCTCGGGCCCCACTACCATAGGGAATGTTGAGTTTAGCGATCTCGCCTCCGCCGAACGGGCGATGCAGCAGTTTAATAATCAAAACATCTACCCGGGTTGTTGCTTTGTGAAGTTGAGCTATGACCAACCTAACTACTATCCTCAGCATAATCAACAAAATGTGATCGCGCGGGGAGGCAGAGGGGGGGCGGGGGGACAACATGGGTTCTTTGACCAACGGGGCACGCCTCGTGCGATGGGTACGATGCCGTATATGATGTCGCAGCAGCAGTCGGATATGGCTTTACCGAATAGACCAATGGAAATACGGCGTGGTGGAAGGGGAGGGGTTCGTGGGGGAGCGGGCTTCTCCCGCGGGGATGGCCGTGGGGCCCCTTACTACAACCCTAGTGTGAGCGCCGCCGGGTTTGACCCGCTTGGAGTCGCTAGCTATGGTGGTGGGGGCGCAATGGTGCCGCAAACCGAGGAAGCGACGGTGGTAATCAGCAACGTAGCGGAGAGTGTACCGCTGTATGAATTGTGGGTCCTCTTGGAAGTGTACGGCAATGTGGATTCTCTTAGGCGACACTATAAAGATAAGGGCAACGTCTCCGCGCAGTTTCAGCACCTCATGGATGCCAAGACGGCGGTGGTGTACCTGCAGAACTGCCCCTTGCGTGGCCGAACGTTGGGGTTCAAGTTATTTGCAGGTTACGTCGAGCGTGGCGGGAAAATTGAATGGAATTCAGGGCCCGCAACAGACCCTTCAACCCAGGCTGTTCTCTTTACGTCAGGCTATCATCACCGCACGAAACCCTCGGCGCCCTACAATCCACTCAGCCGCATTCGACCCGATAAGAACATTTTCGTTTCCAACCTTCTTGAAAGCATCACCGATGTCGATCTTAAGGCCGAATTAGCAAAGTCAAATGTGGCTATAGAAAAGTATTACAGGAAGAATCCGACGGTGGCTATTGTCGGCTTTAAAGATATCGAAGATGCTATTAGCGCACTTGTGGCGGCACACGGTAAACAACTTAAGGAGCGTTATCTACGCATTACCTTTTCTAGGTTTCCACCTGAGCCAATACAAGGTGGTGAGAATGAGCAGGATAACATTGATGAGGAGGGTGTCAGCAATACTAATTATCGCACCGAAGGAGGTGAAAACTCTAACAAGAAAACTAATAATGGAGCTAAAGCTCAATCTCAACAGTAAGAAAGAAACTTAAGTGATATATATATATATATATATATTCTTATAGAAAGCATGAAATAAAAAATAATTACTCGCCATATTTGTCATATCTTTTGGAAGGCCTCGAAAGTGATTCTATGTTGTCTATCGGTTCTTTTGGATGTTGTTATGCGTAAAAAAAAGTCTAACATATTAAAATTTTTCTGTTGTTTTGTCAGTATTTTTCACTCATGGGGGTATATATTTTTAGTGAGCACTGTTCGGTGATTTGACGTTGGTAGCAAAAATACACGCACATATCATAAGGCGAATGACTTAAAAAATATATACACACTCACAAAAATGAATATTGAATCAATACCTACCCTCTCCAATTATTTTGATTCACTTTTTTTATATTTAGAAAAGTAATCCATTTCGATAGTGTTTTGAGTCATTTTTTAGAGTGTTCATCTTATCAATTCAAGAGCATATGCAATCCTCTGATGAAGTCACTGAGTGTGTTAAGGAGTGGGACGTTTCGGCTCCCGGGGCTGGTGCCCAGCGTGTTATTGCTATCACGCAGCTCTACTTCCGTCTCTGCAATTTCCTCCCGATCACGATCGTTGTGGCGGACGCGCTTTGTTTGGTGTTCGGTCCGGACGGCGCCTCAAAGCTGGACCTTGTGAATTATCTCGCGCTCTCTGAAGAGCGTGTGCAGCTCGGACTAGACACCATCCCGTTGGATATGCGCTGCACCTCACTGAACTTGAGTACGGAGGACACCACAAAGGATGAATCTTCATCAAATCGACACAAACTCAATAAGGAGGAACTACGATATTTTTTAAACTACAAGCGCATCTTGCCCTTTGTGTACTCACATGTTTCACAGATCCTGCTGGCCCTTTGTACTACGCTACTGCCGTCGAATACACTTCACGGCAACATTTCCCGGACTGCTCATGATTATTCGTCATCACCCGTGTTGAGGACCTTACCGCAGAAGTCTGCCATTGATCATTCACAGACGAGTGCGACAATACCACAGGGAGGTACGACATCTTTTAGCCTATCCGATGGTATTAGGCGACGTAAAGCATCGGAAGGAATTTTTTGCCCTGTATGCCGAACTTACTATGGCCTTGACGAGTTCGCGAAGAGTGCTTCTCGGTGTATGGGCTGTAAAACGGATGTACTGCGAGTGATAGTCGAGGCCACCAAAGATCGAATGAATGCAAAATATGAACAAGATGGATCGATTGTGTCGTTGCCCTCTCTAGCCACAAGGCAAAAAGTGGAGCTAGCTGGGGCCCCCGAGGCCTCACCGACGGCTCCCGATTCACCTTCAGTGAAATATAGCCGCAGTGCGGCAGACCCGCTTCCGGAACTTCGAAGCTGTCCGTTAGCACGGGATCCGTTTCTAGTACAGCAGTCCCTTGCGTTTTTGTACCTTTATAATACCCCTTTTGCGTGTATCAACGACTGTCGCTACATCGTGAACGCCGAGGAAATTATGACCGAGCCTGAGTACGAAAAACGACTCGAGGGGAAAGCGACGGTGTCCGACCAGTTCCGCGCCGCTCACCGCAACCCCAACACGATTCGCGTGCGGTTCATTTCCCAGCGCGAGGTCGAGAAGGCGATACGCGAGGAGAATGAGAAAAAAATATCGAAGCGCGCCCACCTGCCGCCGTGGCTACTGCAGCGCCATCATTTCACTTCCCTCTCGCCGAGGCAGCCACACGGCACCGCTTCCTCCGATATCGTAAAGGAAAACCCCAAAACAGCTTCAACAATGCTGCAAAGTTCGTTAGATCAAATTCCTTTGCAGCATCAAGAATCAGGGGATTCGACGCTCAAAAAAAAAGATGCAAACTGCAAGCGCACCAGGCAGATCGTGGAGTTTGGTTCAGAAACGCGGGAAGATCTGATACGTGATGCTCATTTTGTCGCTTCTGAGTTTTTTCACGGTGATTTCATACCTATTAAACTTCCTTTATACCATACCTCAACCTCATAGTAGAAGGAAGGGAGGTATACATATGGAAATATAAAATTTAACGGGAAGGATGGTGCGTTCTCCCTGAAGCATTCAATTTTTATGGCTGAAACCCCAGGGTTACCCCTAAGCCTTATGATTTGTCTTAGACAATGACTTATTCGTACTACCTATTTTCGATCCAAGTTCTTGAGTAATAGTTATCTAATACAGTCTTTGAAATTACCATCACTACCATGTGGATGATGAGTGTCCAAAGAAAGGTGACGACGGTCTCATAGTCTTCTTGCCTTTTTCCTTATTGTCTATTTTTTTCCCTCTTGGTACACTTTTAAACATCATGGCAGGAATAAACTGCTAAAAGTTCTATTTAGAGACCTGTATCTAACTTCACAACAAGTATGAGGGGGGAACCGTTACCCTTTCAATGCGATAGCAACGAATAGTTCAACTGTTGAAATTCTTGTTCTTTATCTTCCTGCTTTTCCTTTTATTCAGTTGCAGTTATTTTTAAGTTATTTGTCGATTTTGTTATATAAATATAAATATTCTCTTTTAAATGAGTAAAGCGGTTGAAGGCCTCATTTTAAAGGCCTTGTTATCAGAGGACGTGGTGTCTTCCGATGATTTGGCGAC